TTTGCACAAAAGAAGTTCAACAGTTCATTTCCCTCATTCCCTGTAGTTTAGATACGAGTACTCAGTCATGCACCCTTAGAAAAAGAATGTCATGCACCTTCAGAAAGAGAATATCAAGCTACGTTTATAGCTGCTGAGCTGTGAAGATGATGGCTAAAAACCAAACACACAGACCTAAGTAGGTATAGAACTACCCCATAAAACAATACTGAAATTTAAGAGAAAAGGGGAAGAAAGGCTGGATATTTAGCAGAACTCCCAACTGTCCCATCCACTGTCACAAGCTAAATTGCCCAGTTCAGAGACCTCTGCTAAATTATTGTTTCAGTTCTGTGTTTTTTCCCCACATTTAAACCATGTATATTCAAAGCACTGTTTGTTACAGCAATTTAATAAAATTGCTAGAATTACCGTAACACGATTTCACAAAATACACACTTCAAAATGGTTCTTCCTTTCCGCAAGTTGATATATTTATACCGTTCCATCACTTAGATGACCAGAAAGTTCTGATCAGGCAACTTGTTGGCACATTCATTACAAGTAACAAGATATCATAAGAAGAGGAGATCCTTTATGCAGATTACTGGACTACATTTGGATCTTCACCATTTAGGTGAATACTGACATAGGTACCAAAATTGTAATTGCAGAAATATGTATGCATACATTTATACATATAGACAGTTGTATTTTATTCAGTACAGAGTGTTCCAATCACAATCATGACACTTCAAGAGTTTTTGGCTTACCCTCCAACCCTCCCCCCCCAAAAAAAAAAAAAAAGGGTATGCTGGTAACCACAGTATACTACTGAATCTGGCCAAGTGGAACTTGATCAGATTCCACAAATGGGAAGCAACAGCAGCTTTCTCATCTGCCTTAAATAATCCCTGTGATGTTTGGATGCAATAGGTGATTCTGGACAAGATGGAGCCCTCTCATTAAGTATATATGGCAATGATGAAAGAGTCAGAGAGAGATGGCTAGTTAGTTAGTACCAATAACATGAAACCAAGCAAAGGACCACTCAGGTAACTATTATAGGAAGCTTCCTAATAATGAGTACAGCTTAGTGTAGTACTAATGGCCACAGGAAACAATGGATAAATTCAAAGTCACTCTAGGCAGTCAGGGTTAACAACAACAAAGATTACTCCAAATATCTGTTCAACCCATACTTTTTAGCACTTTAATGCTTCCTAATAAGTTCTTGCAAACATCCACCTGGGTCATTCCTTGATAGCATCTCCAAACCTTATTTTTTTCTTGTAACGTGTTTACATGACCAAGGTTTTTATCATTTCACTATCTGGGGAGTAGATGTTCTCCATAAAAACGTTGATTATTTAATAAAAACCTAAGGACTGTGGTTACTACTTCTCCTTTTCCCTCCCTCCCTAATAACTCAAGTCACCCATCAGAAAGCTGAAACAGTACCAGCTGACATAGCACAACAGAGGTAGTCTAGCTAATGACTGAAATGCACAGATCTGCAAGCACAACTCAGGTAACATTTGTTCAGTCCCACTGCTTCCCAAGTATTAGCAAACGGAGCTGGTGAATGAATGGTAACAGCTCAGTTTCCAGCCATTCATGGAGATTAAGCTTTGTTCCTGACATCTATTTGCCTTGAGTATATTATTTCTGTCATATATATTATGGCTTTCTGCCATCTCCAAGTGTTCTTTTCCTAGTATATCCTACACTTCAAAAGTGAACGTTCTAAAAATTCTTGCCACCAGATACACAACCGTGTCAAAAAGAATCTGTTGTATAGTTTAGATGCAGAAAATCAACACAGCTATTTAAAAAAACCCACCCTGTGCACAAAGGCATCATGAGTGCTCTCCACTCACAAGATTTCAGCACCCAAAAGGCCTCATGCAGTTAAACTTGAGAAGTGTAGCTGAACACTGTGCAACAGTATTGCTATTGCCATTTTTGTAGGCATTCATCTGCCACTGAACGGAGATTAAGGGAACTGTTCATATGGCAATGATCCTGCAGGAGCTTATTATGATCTTCATGAATCAGTAGTAAAATGTACTATATTGTAGCTGTCATAGCCTCCAGATGCCATGTCTTTCCTGCCTGCCTCAAAAATTCATAAACGTGGGCATGATGGAAGATAGATCTTATGGGCCTTTGCTCTCTGTGTCCAAAAGAGCGCGAATAAAAATCTGCCATCAGTTTTGACTCCACTGATTTGGTGGGTATTTTGCCTTTGGTTATATTGCTTTCTTCTCTGTGACTTGCTTTTGATAAACGATGTCACTGCAAGTTTAAAGACCCTTTTCTCCTTTACAGTGTATCAACTACATTGTACAATAAAAGCAACAATTCCCATTGACTAAAAAGTGTTGTTTATGTTGCAGAATAGTAATTTTGTTGGGTTTTTTCCAAGCTTTTCTCATGCAACTCCTCCATTAACATATCCATTAAGCAAGTTATTTACAAGATTTTAATATTTTTTCCATAAGACACAGTCAGTTTTGCCCTATGGAAAATGAAAATCTTTTCTATATTTTATATCTGTTTATTCAGAGATAAAAATGCAAAGTTCCTTCTGAATCTTCTGGTAGAGTCGAACTTAATTATTTTATTACTTAATTCTGTGAACAATTCTGTTGTAAAAGATCCCCACAGATTTAATCTACACAAAATACAAAGGTGCAGTTTTTAAGACAGCACATATTCCAAACTTAAAGCAAAAAAACCACCTCAACTAAAAGAAGATTTGGTAATGCTATGAACTTCTCCAGGGAACAGATGTGAGCTCTAATTCCTCTCTGGAAGTCATACTTCTTTCTTAACTTTAATTTGCTGGGCAGGGAAAAACATGGATTGCACCTCTGTCACAAAACAAAACAAACAAACAAACAAACAAAAGTATCTTATATGTATGCCCAAACAAAATATGAACCTAAAAATACAACAGCTGGTGACCTGACTTTAGAACACACAGTTAAATATGAGAAAGTACATTACTTAATATTCTGAGACTAATGACTACGCTGCTATAATGTGCAAGAGAAGAGTTCTTGCAGTCACTAAGTGTATGGCTTACCAATTAAACATGTGTATCTGATTTTTATATCTGAAACTGCAATGTATTGGGCAGACTTTTTATTTCTGAAATGCTTCCAAAATCTTGGGCAGATTCGACTAGAAGTCTGTCTTCTAATAAGGCTTTGAAAATTACCTAAATTATCTAATACAAACTAATCTGCAAATAACACTTCCAATCATAAGGTTTAAAACTTTGCCTATGTGAAAGAACACGTCTGCATGGAATGATATAGCATTATATACTTGGCTCCAAATGATGCATTTGAAGACAAGCTGGGAATTTGTACACACTACTCTTTTGTTCCAGTAGTCATACCAAAAGGCTGCCTTCCTGTCTCTTAACACAGTATTTTTTGTTCTCTACTGCTCTACTGATACCTACTGATAGCATTTTGGGGACAGCTCAGTTCCTGCATGTAAAAGCCACACCGTTTCTAGGAACACCTTTGAAAAAAGTCACCACACACATAAAAATGTAAAATACTATTATTGTTGTTATATAAAAACATACAACAATTATTTATGTAACTCTAATACAGATAGACAGGCAATACTCAGTAAAATTACAAAGTTATGTTTGGCTACCTCATCTCTTCTGTGAAGACACATTTTACCAGCATTTTCATAGTTTCAAACATTGCTTTCTTGGCAATGCTTTTTATTCTCTTCCAAAAGTCTGTCAAGCAAGCAACTTTTCATCAAATAGCTGAAAAAATCTTGTCAACAACCTGTGTTGTTTTTTTTTCCTCACATTCATTTTAAGCCTCTAAAAGAATCCTGTCATGTACCAACAGTATTTTGTCTATACATTTAATAATAAAAAAAAATTACTACTTTTATCTGTAAACATTGTAGCAAAGATCATGGGTTTTATTGTTTGATTCTGCTACTTTTTTTCTGTTAGAGAGAATAATATTTTATAGTAAACTAGATGTTGGTATATTGTCTCAAACACTTGCATTTGTATTTGATGTATAAGTAAGGAGGCATATTTAAAATAAGTACCTAATGAACCATGTTGCAGTGTTTTGTATACTTAAAAAAGCATGTACAGCATTTTAGCAAGAAGATGATAAACACTTGGTTATTAAGAGACATATACTGAATAATCACAGTGGTCCCTAAAACTTCAAAAGCTTGAATGAGACTTCCAGGTGTGTGCTCCTCATCTTATTCAAGCACGTTTTTTTTACAAGACATATTTCAAATAGCTCCTTCCAGTTAAAACATCAACAAAGTCATGATACTGGATAAAAAATACATATTTAGAAATAGGACATCAGACACATAATTTTCTGCAGGTTTCTAGAATTTCTTTAAGTGCTGGCAGGATTGAATTCAAGAAAGGGTGTTTAGAAAGTACCTTTATTTTTCTTAAAGCATAATCAGTTCTGCTCTTAACTTCAGAAGCATTTGTACCATTGCTCATCCAGATTTCAAAAGAAATTATAAAGTCATATTCAAATGCTAAAAGAAAAACCTCTGAAAAACATCACATATTATTGATGTGACAATCTGAGCTACTCTGATAGAATTCTTATTTATTTGCTTTAATCTTATCTCTAGCACCAGGCAGTGAATTATGTTATGTTTCACAGTTGTTCCCCTCAAGACCCAACTTGACATTTGTCTGAATACTATCTTTTCCTCAAATGGACTGTTCAAGCTTATATAGTAGTCAAAGTTTTATGCAGAAAAACCCATGAAGATCAAAACGTGCAACTTCAAAGCACTATCAAGAATTCCAATGTTGCATCTTCCAGAGAAGAACAAACAAGCAACTGAGAGTTAAGGTTACAATAAATATAGCATGAAGTTCTGGGCAATATAACTAGCAATCCTGGAATGTACTTGAGATTCAGATTTAATCTGAGATCCAAAGACAGTTCTTATTGGGGGGGGGGAAGCATGATCATGGCATAACTTACAATAGGAGCAGCCGTAGACTTCAATTCTCAACCCAATTTGGCCCTCTCCATTCCAGTCCAAAGGAACTATCCGTACATAGCGAGCAATAACTGGATGCTGTAAATCATGCCGGACCACGTTATCAGAGTTTGTATTTCCAGGAAATGCCTAAGGGAAAGAAGAAAATTATTGTATTACATCTATCTCACATGCTATAAAGGTTCTGTACTGAAGGAAAACATACGGTGATCGAGTCCTCTGAGTCTATGTTACACTGACATTTGGCTGAAATGCTTTGATAGGGACCAAATGAACAGGTGATTTACAAAGTTTTACATGAAAACAGTAGCACTGAGACCTCTTCCACCACAACAGATATACTGAAATCATGGCACAGTTGCTGCTAGGTAAGAAAGTAATGCATTTTGGATCACTAATCTGTCACACAGTTACTAACATGTTAATAAAAAGTGTCCAACCCAGAGTGGTTGTTCTGGGGAGAAAGATACCCGTCCCTGTTAGTAAAATTACACACACCAGCCATTTTCTTGTAAATATGAAGACTGAAATAAGCTCCTTTTTACAATAGACAGGGACCCCTTCAATTTCTCAGATTTATGAGAATTTTTAAAATCTTCCTTTATTTCTATTGTATTACCCACTGGAAAGTGAGTGTCCAGTTTCTTTTCTAACCACAGTTGTCACTCACGGCACAGTTATTGGTTAATAAAACTTTGGAAGTCAAGAAAGGATGCAAGAGCTCTTAGGGGAGTTTTGAAAATAAATAGATTAATTATTTAGCACTTGGTTTACAGTTTTGTACTTATTAGTAAAATATTTCATTACATCAAGCTTAAAAATAAACAATACCTACTAATTAACAGACATACTAATTATAATTTTGTCCTGTCAGTTTATGGACAAACCATTCATTCACTGACAGCAGATGTTGAAGACTACCATTCAGTTATTCTTGGCATTTTCAATGCAATTTTCATACTTTTTCATAGGCAATTTTGAATAGAAATAAGTGCCTTGTAAAAGTGAACAGATCAGTCATAAGGGAACAGAGAAAAGGTGATGCATTACTAGAGATCCTACAACAGTAAGAAATTTTTTGTGCATCCTCATGAATAAGAGATACTTTTACTACAGAGAAAAAAATACTCAATAGCAGTTTCTACACCATGGCCAGCTGAATAAATTCACACAAAATCCTATAGTAAATACCCACAGTAGAACAAAAAAATCCCCACAAAGACACAACTGGGCTGTTAAGTAATACTACTAAAAAATCTGAAAGGGAAGTTGTCCCTTTGCATACAAATACAGCAATACCTAATGACATGCCCACATGCAACCTATTTCAGAAGATTATCTTAGATTAGTAATTATTTTGTATAGGACACAATAGATCTAGGTGGTAACTGTAAGGGATCCATTCCTTGGTGGAGTTAAAAAAAAACAACATAGATTAATGGCTACATTCACCTTAATTTTTCTCCACCACAGCTATTAATGTGCTAAATTATTATGATGACATTCCTACATAGCTGAGCTGGCAAGATTAATTAATTAATGGCTATGAAGCATTTACATATTTGAGTGGTAAATGTTTATAAGGAAATTAACAGCTCTGTCTTCTGAGCAGAACAGAAGACAATAAACAATGAAAGAAAACATTGGGAAAATGAAGACAAAATATTCTATTGTACAGTTGCCTATTCTCTTAGTCCTCTTCTAGGAATCACAGAACTTCATGGAAGGAATCCATATATTTTAGTAAGCATGCAAGGTAATGCTCCGTATTTCAAGAGGAATTTCTGTTTGGGCATGTCTTAATTTCATGATGCTTGGCATAATCTTATAAAAGCTCTCTTGATGTACATTTTTGGTTCTTGTTTTATTTTGGGGATTGTTTCTTTGTTTAATTGACTTGAAGTATTAGGAAAAGCAAGATGAATATAGGAGAGCAGGATATTTTTTATATAATTGGATTAAATGATTAATGAAAACTTATTCTCAAAATCAGAATTCTTTTCTGTAACTTTCCAAACTTTGTGCCATCACTTGTGATTTAACAGTCCTTTGTCAGAAACACTTAGGGCCGAAAATAGACGATTTTTGATATTTAGAGGGTTTTGACTGGTGTGTGATCTGGTAGCAATTGCCGAATGCATAAAAAGAGTCAATAGAGAAGAGGACAGTCTGTCATTGTTTCCCTGATTATTAAAATGCATTCCATTTATTCTCCAGCAGAACATGTTTTAAGAACAGTCTTCATTGAGATAAATGTGGTACAGTAATGCATGCTCTGTGGATAATGCAAACATCAGACCAAAATCCATTATTGCAAGGCTGAAAAATCAATTTATAGGAGTTTGTGAATTATGTACTATTGCTGAAAAAAATATTTTCTGATCAAGACTTGTAGGTGGATTTAGAACGGCAGGTTCTCATTAAAAATTGGAGTTTATACAACTTTCAAAGCCCCATGTTTCATAAGGTTAACAAACAGTTAAGTATAATTTAGAACCGCATCTCTAATAGGAGATTTTTTTAAACAGGGTGTGAATCTCTGGGTAAAAAATACAAAAACATACAATAAGGATCCCCCTTATGAAACTATATTTCAGAAAATAGATTAAATACCTGTATAAATTAAAAAGATTTACAGATAATTAATCTCATAAATTCACTGAAGTATAATTGTCAGATGTTTCCTTTTCATGGGTAAAGTGCTTTTTCTTTAACCCAAACTGGGAAAGTGACCAAGATGTCTCACTTGTCAGTAAAACAGGTAGCCCTGTCTCACCAGTCCAACTCCAAAATCCTCTGCTCTACAAGTAGTTTCTCTTCTTGAATCAGATACTGACTTCTGTAAACTGCTTTACGTTTCAGCTCCCACAGCAAAGAAAAGCTCAGGAGTGTTGTGAGTAATAACTACTTTTCTCAAAGATGGTGCTCCACAGGACAGCAAAGTTATAAGAATAAAGAAAGATAAGAAAATACACCCTCAAATCCTTTCTAAACCCTGCTTTTGAACGTATGTTGACCAGAGTTCTGAAAGTACTCACTGGGAGATTTACAGCTGTCTTCCATAACAGTTTGAACAAATGTAATTTGTTCAGCTCCAAGAATTTTTCAATAATTACCAGGGCAGGTTTGTAGGGTAGATAATATATTTTAATGGGCCAACTAATTAAGTTTAAATAAAGAAAAAGTTTTTGTCACAGGAGCTTTCTTCAGCAGAAGCAGCAGGGAAAAAAAAGAAGCCATACAATCTTTGAAATTAACTTTGGTTTTACCAACATGCTTCAGCCACACATACCTATAGAGACACGGTAGAGATATTCAGTATAATTTTCTTTGCATAAGCAAATAAACCTGCAATATGTGAAGTTCAGTTTTTGTGAAATTTGGAAAACAGGGAAATTTAAGATTCAAACTCAACTTTGTTTCCTGTATTTACTGAATAAATATGTTCTAACCAGTGATATACAGCTTAATAGTATTATGTAAGTAAAACTGACAAAAATGGGCTTAGTTTCCTGTAAAAGGACAGCTTTGCAATGCCATTCTGTACTCAACTTTATGGATACAGCAAGTACATTCTAAAACCTCATTTTGGGAAAATGCTTTTATCACCGTTTACAATAAAGGATTAAGAAGAAATTCTAGGTATTAAGAAAATATCTCTGAAGTAAGGAGGCTCAAGACTGAATGACAAGAAATTCTATTAAGTGAACAAGAGTGTAAGTTTTCCTAACAAAGGGGGAAGGTTTGGAAGAATGTTTGTCAGATACTCCACCAAATGAACGAAGAGATCTTTGCCATCTTTCAACTCCTATTGTAGCAGAGAAAAAACCCCACACTTACCAAAAAAACCCCCCAAAAACAAAACCAGAAACCAAACCAAACCAAAATCATCAAGCAGAGAACCTGACTTAAGGGGAAAATTAAAGATTGATCTGACTTAATTCAGTTGAAGAAGTCACCATCCAAATTAATGATTTCTATCAGAGACAAGTATTAAAATTAAAACTAAACTAAAAATAATTCATGTCTTTCTAGGGTGATATAAAGATAGGGCAATGCACAGAATAGCAGGATGGCATTTCTTCTCGATATACAAATGCAAGTGGTTTTTTCATAACTTTCTTTAATTACTAGTAATTTTTTTTTTCATTATTTTAATTATATATTTACTTTTATACTTCTTGACAGATTTTTGCCTTTGGTATTTTAAGCACAGGAGAGAATAATTTATGGGTTTGAATTTATGAAAAAAAGTTTAGGCTTCTAGGTTAATTTTGACACACTAACAGTAAGAACACTCCAGAGTCTATGTTTCATGATATTATGTTTCAAGAAATGGCTCTCATCAGAATCAGAAACTCAATTTGCATGTGAAAACCATGTTAATAGAAGTGTGATATTACAAAATATGGAAGCATCCACAGACTGACAGAAGTTGTTTATGAGAAACAAAACTGGGCTCTCTTTGAGGATTGCAAGGTGAGCTAACCATTGAGCAAAGTACATCTCAATATTTTTATTTTCTAGAAAATACCCCAAATTCCAAACCAAATATTTTTCTGAAAACTTGATGGATTACAAACTTGAGAAGTCGATAGCTTTGATTTGCCATAAACTCTGGAAAATCCAGAAAATTTTGTTCTTCCTTTGAGTTCTCAAGACTTCGCACTGTCAGGAAGAGAAGGGCAGGCTGGGTGATGGGAGCTCCTGGTCTGAGATACATGGTAGATTTCAGAACAAAATTCAACACAAAAATTTTTAAAAAGTGTTCATGTTTTACCAAAATAAAAAACTACCTCTCCAACCTGCTCATGCAGCCAAAATTCAATAATGAATTCCTTTTCTCGTACTTCTACATACTAATTGTCCACACCTTTTTATGTGCAGAAACATCACTGGGTTATCTGTGCATTCTTCTGGGGAAACTGACTCAATCTTTTCATAGAATCATAAAATCATAGAATGGTTTGAGTTGGAAGAACCTTAAAGATTATCTAGTTCCAACCCCCTGCATGGGCAGGGACACCTCCCGTTTGGTCAGGTTGCTCCAAGCCCCCTCCAATCTGGTCCTGGACACTTCAGGGATGGGGCTTCCACAATCTTCCTGGGCAACCTGTTGCAGTGTCTCA